GCTGTAGGTGTGTCCATGTGCTGCAGGTGTGTCAGTGATGGTGATGTGCTGTAGGTGTGTCCAGTGATGTGCTGCAGGTGTCAGGATTGGTGAGTGCTGTGGTGTGTGTTCAGTGATGGTGATGTGCTGCACGTGTGTCCAGTGATGGTGATGTGCTGCAGGTGTCCAGTGATGGTGATGTGCTGTAGGTGTGTTCAGTGATGGTGATGTGCAGGTGTGTTCAGTGATGGTGATGTTGTAGGTGTGTTCAGTGATGTGCTGCACGTGTGTCCAGTGGTGGTTGTGTGCTGTAGGTGTGTTCAGTGATGGGATGTGCTGTAGGTGTGTTCAGTGATGTGCTGCACGTGTGTCCAGTGGTGGTGATGTGCTGTAGGTGTGTTCAGTGATGGTGATGTGCTGTGTGTGTTCAGTGATGGTGATGTGCTGTGGTGTGTTCAGTGATGCTGCACGTGTGTCAGTGGTGGTGATGTGCTGTAGGTGTGTTCAGTGACGAGTGATGTGCTGTTGGGTGTCCAGTGATGGTGACGTGCTGCAGGTGTGTCCAGTGATGTGCAGGTGTGTTGAGTGATGTTGATGTGCTGTAGGTGTGTTCAGTGATGTGCGTAGGTGTGTGTAGTGATGTGCTGCAGGTGTGTTCAGTGTTGTGTTGCAGGTATGTTCAGTGTTGTGCTGCAGGTGTGTTCAGTGTTGTGCTGCAGGTGTGTGTTCAGTGTGTTGTGCTGCAGGTATGTTCAGTGTTGTGCTGCAGGTATGTTCAGTGTTGTGCTGCAGGTGTGTTCAGTGTTGTGCTGCAGGTGTGTTCAGTGTTGTGCTGCAGGTGTGTTCAGTGTTGTGCTGCAGGTGTGTTCAGTGTTGTGCTGCAGGTTCAGTGTGTTAGTGTTCAGTGTTGTGCTGCAGGTGTGTTCAGTGTTGTGCAGCAGGTTTGTTCAGTGTTGTGCTGCAGGTTGTTCAGTGTTTGGTGCAGCAGGTTTGTTCAGTGTTGTGCTGCAGGTTTGTTCAGTGTTGTGCTGCAGGTGTGTTCAGTGTTGTTGCAGGTGTTCAGTGTTGTGCTGCAGGTGTGTCAGTGTTGTGCAGCAGGTTTGTTCAGTGTTGTGCTGCAGGTGTGTTTAGTGTTGTGCAGCAGGTTTGTTTCAGTGTTGTGCTGCAGGTGTGTTCAGTGTTGTGCTGCAGGTGTGTTCAGTGTTGTGCTGCAGGTGTGTTCAGTGTTGTGCAGCAGGTGTGTTCAGTGTGTGCTGCGGTGTTCAGTGTTGTGCAGCAGGTTTGTTCAGTGTGTGCAGCAGGTTTGTTCAGTGTTGTGCAGCAGGTGTGTTCAGTGTTGTGCAGCAGGTGTGCAGTGTTGTGCAGCAGGTGTGCAGTGTTGCAGCAGGTGTGTTCAGTGTTGTGCAGCAGGTGTGTTCAGTGTTGTGCTGCAGGTGTGTTCAGTGTTGTGCTGCAGGTGTTCAGTGTTGTGCTGCAGGTGTGTTCAGTGTTGTGCTGCAGGTGTGTTCAGTGTTGTGCAGCAGGTGTGTTCAGTGTTGTGCAGCAGGTGTTCAGTGTTGCAGCAGGGGTGTTGTGTTGTGCAGCAGGTGTGTTCAGTGTTGTGCAGCAGGTGTGTTCAGTGTTGTGCAAGGTGTGTTCAGTGTGTTGCAGCAGGTGTTCAGTGTTGTGCTGCAGGTGTCATGTACTGGCAGGTGTGTTCAGTTGTGCTGCAGGTGTGTTCAGTGTTGTGCTGCAGGTGTGTTCAGTGGTTGTGCACGGGAGCAGGTGTGTTCATTGTTGTGCAGCAGGTGTGTTCAGTGTTGCAGCAGGTGTGGTTGTGCAGGAGGTGTGTTCAGTGTTGTGCAGCAGGTGTTCAGTGTTGTGCAGCAGGTGTGTTCAGTGTTGTGCAGCAGGTGTGTTCAGTGTTGCGCTAGGTGTGTTCAGTGTTGTGCAGCAGGTGTGTTCAGTTGTGCTGCAGGTGTGTTCAGTGTTGCAGCAGGTGTGTTCAGTGTTGTGCAGCGGTGTGTTCAGTGTTGTGCAGCCGGTGTGTTCAGTGTTGTGCTGCAGGTGTTCAGTGTTGTGCTGTGTTCACTTGAAGAAATATTCTAGAAATTTTGAAGAAAAATAATACCTTCAATACATTTTTTCATAATAATAATAATAATAATAATAATAATATACAGTGTGGTGGTAGAGCGGCTCGTGTATTAGCCGAGACTACAGTAGCTGGGCTCGTCAGCTCGGTCCGATTGGTTCCCGGCGAGGCAGCCTTCATGACGCCCTGTCGGGAATTTCCGGCTAATTGGTCACTTCATTTTTATTTGCATTAAAATTCAGTAATTTTCCGTAATTGTAATTGAAAATCTCGAAGAATGTGTTGTTTAATTTATTCATATTGTCGTTGTATTTGTTGTATTGTAGTGAAATACATGTGAGATAGTGGTGGGGTCATGACAACATGGTACTGTTGGCCACCGGCGGGCGGGGCGGGCGGGCGGGCGGGGTCTGGCCAGGCCGTGGGAGCTGATGTCTGTGGAGTCTGTCCGTTAATAAATTGTTTTTCTTAATGGTTAACAAAACAGTTTTATTGATGTTCACTTCTGTTCACTTTTAACTTGAACACTCAAAGAGGGAAGACATAATTCATTGATAGGAGTCACAACCAGCCAGTTTGGTAACTGAATTTGTATTTGTATTTACCAAATGAATAAAATATGTAAGTGTGTATTTGTATTTGATGAATATAAAATTATCATATTTGTATTTTGTAGTTGGCCAAGTGTATTGACCCCGGCCCTGCTAGATGGGCGCTGGTCTAACTTGTTACTTTTTTCTATTATATTATTTTGTTACGTATTCTATTATTATTATTATTATTATTATTATTATTATTATTATTATTATTTAGCAATCATTGCCTCAAATTGTTTTAGCCTCATGTGTTCACTTTATAAATCATTAAGTTATTCTTGTTGTCTTTATGTAGGATCAACAACATTTGGAATATATTGTAATTGTATATTTAAATAAAACAAATATAATTGCGTTTATGATAATAGAATATTGTCTTTGCTTTTGTAAGTGTTGAAGAGTTTTGGAACTGATTATTGTTCGTTTGATGATCAGTATTATTAAATTGTATTAACATATTGATCTTGAGATGATATTGTATCTTAAAATATTTTATTGAGAAGAAGAAAGTAACATTAAATATAAATACAGTTTTTTTAAGATAAATTAGATATACTCTATTGACGCCGACTCCGTAAAGTCTTTTGAACATTTAACACCAAAAATTATTATACGGGATTATTTCAAAGTTAAATGTACACACATATGTATCAGTAATAATATATTTGTAATAAAAACTTTTGGCAATGGAAAATACACAATAATAATAACTTGAAGTGCGTGACGAAATTTCTAAACCACAAGTTGGTCAATGGAGGAGAGGGTATCGCTGCTGCTCTCCGCGATTCCTTATTTTCCACCTTTGTACACTTATGATGAGTGTAACGACCATATTACCAGGTATAATCCTAAAACATATATATATCCTTCATATTTACGAAATTTCAGATATTATTAACCTTGCTATAATAAGTTAGACATGTTACAAAGACTCTATTGATAATTGCTGATGGTGACTGTAATAATAATAATAATAATACGCAGGAGTACCTCACTATATTATGCCTACATAGAGTAATTACACAGCATAATTATATCAATTAGACAATAATATGCAGTAATTAGCATGGAGTAAATTACGTATTAACGAAGGGTAACTAGTGAGGGTAATTGATACTTGGAATAGGATGATGGAAATAGTGAAGTACTGTATGTATGTATGTATGTATGTATGTATGTATGTATTGATATTCTCTGTCTCTTTCTTCCTGTCTCTCTCCACACACCGTCTATCCGTCTTTCATTCTTTATATATAACTACAGAAAATCACCTTTAAAATAATATCAGGAAAAATTACAATTATGAGGGAAATAATTGATATTTTATTTTATTTTGTCATTTAATATAATTTTATTAATAGGAAAAACATCAGGAAAAGTAACACTATTGGGAAAAAATTTAAGTTTTTATTCATAGATAAAATTTTGTATATAAATTTTTAATAATTTGACGGCCGAAAAAATAATAAGAAATAATAGGAAATTGTTGTTCTTAAATAAAATAGAAAAATAAATAAAATCTACTATTATTAAAATTATGACAGAAAATAGCTTGTGTTTTTGTTCTGATTTAAGTATTTGTGACAATAACGCGTTTTTTTTGTGTAATAGTATTTTTTTGGCATTAATCTTTTACTTTAACCTGTAAGGGGATAATGTTTGTATACTGTAGCTTTAACCGCTCCATATGGCGTAGGATAATGTTCCGGTAACTTTCCGCCGATATCTTAGCTTTAACCAATTTGTAGATCTTTTCCGATAATAATTTACCGATATTTTAGCTTTAACCACTTTGTAGATCTGTTCCGATAACTTACCGATATCTTAGCTTTAACCACTTTGTAGATCTATTCCGATAATAATCTACCGATATTTTAGCTTTACCACTTTGTAGATCTTTTCCGATAATAATCTACCGATATTTTAGCTTTAACCACTTTGTAGATCTATTCCGATAATAACCTACCGATATCTTAGCTTTAACCACTTTGCATATCAATGTTCCGATAGAGGATGAAGTGCCGATATCGTAAATTTTATTACTATTACAACTACTGCTTACTATCACGATTGTTCCATTACTATTTCTATTGTAAGTACCACCACTACTACCACGACTACAACTACTACAACTAAACTACTAACTATACTATTACAACTACCATTCTACTATATCACGACTACTACACTATCACTACCATACTGTTACTATCATCACAACTACCACTGTTACTATTACTACTATTACTATTACAACTGCTACTATACCACGACTACAACTACTACTATTGTAATTACTATTATTACTACTACTATTACCCAACTATTAATAAACTATTATCGACTTTCAGGACGTGTTAAAAAAAATAAGTGATATTAATTACCCTAAATTAACATAGCATTAACATATGGATAAAGAAAGACATAGAATAAGGAAATAAGAAAACCGTGAATAAGAAAAAGAAAAAACTGGAATAAGGAAAAGAAATATATATATAATTAAAGTGTAATTGGTTAGTGTTCGTCCAGTGAGGCGCCTACAGTCGTGACGGGCCCTTGTAAGTACAGCCCATATATCATTCTTTTATTTATTTACATTTATATCTTAGTTTACGTGAATTTATTTAGTAATTTTTGTTATTATTTAGACTATACGTGATAATGGTGATAATCTGTATTGAAAAGTAAACTCAGTTATTTTTTGGGGGGAATTTTCTTAGTGTGTTGACTTAGTGGTGGGGTAGATAGGTGGTTTGTTTTTATATTTATTTACATATCGGTGTTTGTCTCTTTTATTTTGTTTACATATCAGTATTTGTATGTTTGTTTACATCATATAATCATATACTAATGGTCAAGATGCTATATTATATAGTGAAACCTCCATATAAAGGATTTCTCCAGATAATCCGTTAGGTGGGGTTACATCTAACGGACCATCGATATAACGGACTTTCCTCTCATATAGTTTATTATTACCATTATGATGAAACTACCATAAATATTAAGTTAGATTAAAAAATATATATTTAAGTGTTATGAAACTGCCATGAATTCTGAGTTAAAATTAAAACAAACTAAAAATTATTATTATTCATAATTTTCTCGATAAAATTCATAAAAATACGAAAAATAAATCTTACTATATTAATCTTGTTATTAAATACTACACATGGTATATATAGTCAGAGGGTGAGACCAGGTCCTCAATGGTCAGGTTTTAGGTAATGGCTCTACTAATCTTCAAAAAGCACCGCAGCGGTCGGTAGTTAGGTCAGAGGGTAAGGTGACCCAATCTTCTCACCTGGTTACAAATATTCTTAATTACAAAATTGTCCAGTCTGTATATATAACACCTTGTTTTGTACTTCTCTTTAGTCTGTACTCACCCCTGAAGATGTGAATTACACGAAAGCACTTGGGAACTTCGTGTTTTCTTTCCTTTTGTGGTTATATATATATTTTTTATTTTTAACAGTATATTACATAAATTCAGTATAATTTGTAGATATATTTAAGTGGTGTGTGTAGTGTGTTAGTAGTTACAGTATAGTCAGGTTGGTGTGTGTCTGAGTGTAGTTAGAGTATTTTATGACCTTCGGTTTGATGTATAAATAATAGGAGACAGGATAAGTATTTTCATAAGTTTTCATTTTAAGTTTGGTATCATATCAGTTTTACCTTTATACTTTGTTCTTATAATAATTATATAAGTCAAAGTTGTAAAGTATTTTGTATGACAGTGTTTGTTGTAGAAACATTTTTACAGCCTCAGAACTCAGTATTTTCAGTAAATTAAAAAAATTCGAGTAAAAACCTGAGAGAAATTAACTTTTTTGGCCTATGAATCTATTGTTGTAGGCCTATCCAGTTTTTTTGGCCTATGAATCTATTGTAGGCCTATCCAGTTTTTTGGCCTATGAATCTTGTTGTAGGCCTATCCAGTTATTTTTGCCTATGAATCTATTGTTGTAGGCCTATTCAGTTTTTGGCCTATGAATCTTGTTGTAGGCCTATCCAGTTATTTTTGCCTATGAATCTATTGTTGTAGGCCTATCCAGTTATTTTTGCCTGTAATTTTGTTGTAGGCCTATCCAGTTTACATTATATGATATACTGTATATGATAAATCCCAAGTAGACGAAAAAAAGTTTTTATTTTCAACTTGTTTACAAAAAAATTCATGTTTACCAAAAATTAATCTCGATGACTATTGTGGTTAGGTTAGAGTTTAGGTTAGATTAGATTAGATTAGGTTAGGTTAGGTTTGAAGTTAGGTTAGATTGAATGTTCATGAATTGTGTGTGTATATATTGAGAAACTATTTTATACCATACGTCCATACAATTATACCTGTATGCTGTATAGAAGTGTATAAGGCCATTGATATAACGTATAGTGAATTCTTGGCTATTCAAAATACCTATTGTGATATATTGACTATATATATATAACACCGTCCCGATATAGTGTTGAAAAATGCAAGATATATTAATGGTTGTATATTGTCCACTACTGTTAGGTTAGGTTATATATCAACACCTGGTTTTGTATTTACTAAGTGTGTAAGTGAATATCGAAGCTATACAATTACTTATGCATTAAACAGATGTTATTAAGTATATATAAGTGTTTTAAGTGATGATGAGTGTTTGTGTTATCGAGGTATAATTCTGTACTTGTAAAAACAATGAATAGTTTTTGTTAGCAAGAGACAACAACATAAGAGTTATTGTTAGCAAGATTCGCCACAAGAGTGATGAGGGTGGTGACGTTGATAAGGTGCCACCACTGACGTGTTTAATAGTTGGGAATCTCACCACCAGAGGCGCTAAAATTACCACTTTCCGTCTCTTGGTAGTTTTTAAGGGGTGACGAGGTCTTAAAAGGGGGATTTTTAAGGGAGAATTTTAAGTAAATGGTAAAAAAAAATCTGAATGTATGTTTGTAATTGGGGTAAAGTTAATGCGTAATTGGGAGTATTTATTTGTAATTGGGATGAAAATAATACATAATTTAAATAGATTAAATAGGATACAGTGAAAAACAAAGAAATTGGAGAAGAAAAAAAATCTGTCTTTAAAATAGGATAATGAGGATATGACGAGGAGTAATAGGGTAAATAATAGTATGATTTAAAATAGGGTGAGAAGTAGTAATAGTGTGTGTAATAGGAGATGGTTAATAGCACATAATAGGGGTAATAGATAATAACATATATGATAGGGTGGAGAGATAATGGGGAGATGGAGAATAATGAGGGAGATGGAGAGATAATGAGGGAGGGTAATAGAGAGAGAGAGAGAGAGAGAGAGGCCACAGTGACACATAATATCATTAGCACTATATTGACTCTTCCTCCCCATGAAGGCTTTGTGAGAGACCTACTGCATTATTATCTCTCTCTCTCTCTCTCTCTCTCTCTCTCTCTCTCTCTCTCTCTCTCTCTCTCTCTCATCACCCTCTTCTATCTCTCTCTCTCTCTTTCTTCTTCTCTTCTTTCAAAAATTTCCCAGCACCGAGAATGAGAACTCGAGAGAGAGCGACAAGATATTCCCCACATAAGAGAGAGAGACCAGAATATTCCTCACATAAGAGAGAGAGAGACACACAAGATATTCCTCACATAAGAGAGACACACAAGATATTCCCTCACATAAGAGAGAGAGAGAGCACAAGATATTCCCCCACATAAGAGACACAAGATATTCCCTCACATAAGAGACACACACAAGATATTCCCCTCACATAAGAGAGAGAGAGAGAGACAAGATTTCCTCCATAAGAGACACACAAGATATTCCTAATAAGAGACACAAGATATTCCCTCACATAAGAGAGAGAGAGACACACAAGATATTCCCTCACATAAGAGAGAGAGAGAGAGACACAAGATATTCCCTCACATAAGAGAGAGACACACAAGATATTCCCTCACATAAGAGAGAGAGAGAGAGACACAAGATATTCCCCTCATAAAGAGACACAAGATATTCCCTCACATAGAGAGAGAGAGAGAGACACAAGATATTCCCCTCACATAAGAGAGAGAGAGAGAGAGACACAAGATATTCCCTCACATAAGAGAGACAAGATATTCCCTCACATAAGAGAGGAGCACAAGATATTCCCCTCACATAAGAGAGAGAAGACACACCAAGATATTCCCCTCACATAAGAGAGAGACACACAAGATATTCCCTCACATAAGAGAGAGAGAGACACAAGATATTCCTCACATAAGAGAGAGAGACACAAGATATTCCCTCACATAAGAGAGAGAGACACACAAGATATTCCCCTCACATAAGAGACACACAAGATATTCCCTCACATAAGAGAGAGAGACACAAGATATTCCCTCACATAAGAGAGAGAGACACACAAGATATTCCCTCACATAAGAGAGAGAGAGACACAAGATATTCCCCTCACATAAGAGAGAGAGAGAGAGACACAAGATATTCCCTCACTAAGAGAGCACAAGATATTCCCCTCACATAAGAGAGAGAGAGAGACACACAAGATATTCCCCTCACATAAGAGAGAGAGCACAGATATTCCCCTCACATAAGAGAGAGAGAGAGAGAGAGAGACACACACAAGATATTCCTCACATAAGAGAGAGAGAGAGAGAGAGACACAAGATATTCCCCTCACATAAGAGAGAGAGAGAGACACAAGATATTCCCTCCACATAAGAGAGAGAGAGAGAGACACACAAGATATTCCCTCACATAAGAGACACACAAGATATTCCCTCACATAAAGAGAGAGACACAAGATATTCCTCACATAAGAGAGAGCACAAGATATTCCTCACATGAGAGAGAGAGAGAGACACACAAGATATTCCCCTCACATAAGAGAGAGAGAGAGACAAGATATTCCCTCACATAAGAGAGAGAGACAAAGATATTCCCTCACATGAAGAGACACACAGATGTTCCCCTCACATAAGAGAGAGAGACAAGATATTCCCTCATAAGAGAGAGAGAGAGAGACACACAAGATATTCCCTCACATAAGAGAGAGACACAAGATATTCCTCACATGAGAGAGAGACGATATTCCACATAAAGAGAGAGAGAGAGACAAGATATTCCCTCACATAAGAGAGAGAGAGAGACACACAAGATATTCCCTCACATAAGAGAGAGAGACACAAGATATTCCTCACATAAGAGAGAGAGAGACACACACAAGATATTCCCTCACATAAGAGAGAGAGAGAGCCACAAGATATTCCCTCATAAGAGAGAGAGAGAGAGACACACACAAGATATTCCCCTCACATAAGAGAGAGACAAGATGTTCTACATAAGAGAGAGAGAGAGAGACACAAGATATTCCCTCACATAGAGAGAGAGACACACACAAGATATTCCCTCACATAAGAGAGAGAGAGAGAGAGAGACACAAGATATTCCCCTCACATAAGAGAGAGAGAGACACAAGA